ACAAAGATATTTTATCTTTAAAAAAAAACAGATTCATTTTTACCTTTGATGGAAATTTCCGCGTATAAGTAAGATTAGTCTCATTGTGACTAACATAGTCATCTCTAAAAAAAATTCTTAATAAAATCAGTTTGAGAGGCCGATTGAATTGATAACAAATTCTTTTTGGTCGCGATCCTTATATATTTATAGTGAAGATTATTGGCTAGGATTAATTGTGCTTGTAAAATTAGGCTAATAAATGATTTTGACCGATTTTTTTATTGAGTTTAAGGACTAATAATTATTATTGAAATTGGGCTAATAATTAGTGTGGACTAATTTTAATTAGAGACTAATGGGTTAAATTATAGATAATACCATGTCATATTTTTTACAATGTCATGTCACATTAAAATTGGGAGAATAATTTTGGTGAAGACACATAAACTTTTTTCAAAAAATCACTCTCCAATTAATATACAAGGCACAATTTTTAATTAACATGTATCTGCCAAATATCTTCTCTGTTTGCTTATATTTCCAAACAATTGTGCTGTGAAGAATTTATTAAGGATTTCCATATTTTAGAATTTGAACTGAAGATTTCTATACTTAAAATTATTTGTATTGACGATGCATTTTTGTTTGAATATTCTTAAATATCATTGACGAAGAATTTTCAATTTTATAGTTTAAAGGACTATTGGTTGTAATTTTTTGTATAGTTTGTAATTGATCTTCTATTAATACGGATCTGCTAAATTTCTTCATTATTTGCTTATATTTTCAAAAATTGTTGTTGTGGCAAATTTATTAAAGATTTCCGTCTTTTAAAATTTGCAATGAAGATTTCCACACTTAAAAATAGGGAATTGATGGATGTATAAAATTTTGAATATTTTTGTGAATTCGTAAATACCTTTTTTGGCAATTATTATTTTACAATTTGAAGGGGTATTTGTATATTTTTGCGAATGTTTTTGTTATTCGCTCTATTTTTTGTTGATCCGTTTTTTTGGAGTTGACTATATTTATCCGATTCTCTTGTGTTATTGAGAACTTAAAATTGCTAAAAATAAAATAAGATCGATTATTATATTATAAAGCCAAATATCTTGTAAAAGTAACAATGACTAAATAAACGAACAAAATTTAGGTATACATAATTTAAAATCAAATTTTATTAGAAAGGCCACTAATATTCTTCTTTTCGATGAGATCAAGTTTTTGATACTAACGTCTTTTCTTCATCAATGGAGCCGTTATTCTCATCATCCTTCTTCACTAATACATTAACATAATCTTGTCCTCTATACACATAGTTTTATCTTTTACAAATGATATCGTCTTTATACTAAAACACAAAGCCAAAACTACAAAAAACAAAAAAAAAGATATTTGATCAAACGGAGAAAAATTCCCTTCTACATTGCATGGAAATTCCATTTTTATGAAATTTAGTAATTAACAAAATCGAAAAAACAATTTCGCTGCCAATTGTGTTGGTATAAAATAAATTAGCCGTAATCCCTTATATATAGTGAAGAGTATGTTTAATTGTGTTGGATAATTGGACTAATAATTAATGTTGACCGATTTTTTTAATGAGTTTGAGTCTCATTGAATTAATGTCACAAAAATTATGGCCGTGATCTTTTACATATAGTGAAGGTTATATTTAATTGTGTTAGATAATTGGGCTAATAAGAGATTGGCTGATTTTTGTAATGAACTTGAGCTAATTTAGTTAACAATTAACGGGTTACAAATCACATTTCTTGCAATGCAATGCCACTATTAAATTGTAAGAGTGATTTTCGTGAAGACAAATAAACAAATTACTCTCCAAAGGATTCAAATATCCGTCTAATTTGGTGAGTATTCCGTTTCTAACCGGGTGGGTGTTCCATTTCCAACCGACTTCCAACATCTCGTGGGCTTTTGAGGAGCGGGAGAAATTGTTGGAATTCTATGTAAGAGTCTCGGAAGCCAGGATGAGTGCCAGTTTTACACGACGGCTCATCCTATAATATGGTGAACGCGAATGGATATTTCATTTCCAACCGTTACAGATTATCATGTTGGTAAAAAATCGATTAGAAATTCATTCATCCCAAAACTGCCGGTACGCTGAATGGAATGTCTAAAAGTACATAGACGTTGGAAAGGTTCCAGTTTCAGATAGTATCGTTTAAGTTTTGAATTGGGACTCCACGAGCACTTCTTGGAGAGTACACGGATCATTTCCGTATTTTTTTCTTTTCTTCAGAGTTAGCAAAACAGGAAAGTTGGAACAGAGCCTAGCCTACACTTGTGGACCATCCTAATTTGAGTTAAAGAAAAAACACAAACACATATATTCCTTCGGTTCTGTTTTTTTGAGACACCATGGACTCAACGTCGACCGTACACACTATCTACAACAAAAGCAGAAACCATCCCAAAAACAGACACATTAAAACGACAACGCCTTAATTAACCTCAATCTCACGCACATCATTTCTTCCCTCTTCCTTCATCTTCGGAATCACCACTTTCAACACTCCGTTTTTCATCTCCGCCTTAATCTCATCGATCCTGTAAATCTTCCCCGGCAAACCAATCCTGCTCGTGAAACTCCGGTTCCCACTCTCTCCTTCCTCGTCACCATCTTTGCCTTCTCCTCTTATCACCAGAGTGTCCTGCTCCAAAGCCAGCTTAACATCTTCTCTGCTCAGTCCAGGCATGTCGATTCTCAAGTAGAGAGCATCGTCCTTCTCCTTAATATCCCAACCACGCCGAGCTCCCATACCACGCGTCGCTGATAACAGAGGATTTTCCATGAACTGATCCATTAGATTCAGCACCTGACTCACGCTCCTCGTCGGCGAAAACGGATCAAACACATCTACAGACACAAATCAAGAAACCATGTCAATAATCGCGAGAGAAATTAAATATAAATGTGGAGGAAAGTTAAGAGTGACGAATGAGTAGTTACCTGGGAAGAAATCATCACGGCGGCGAGAAAGTGACCGATCAGATCGGCGGTCTACATCGACGGCGTGGGTATTTTCGCCGTCGTCGTAGCTCTGGACGGCGTTGGTGTTGAGGAGACGAGAGGTAACCTCTGGACGAAGAAGGCAACGGGAACGCGGGACGACGGAGGAGGAGGATAGAAGTCTCCTAAGAGCGAGAGATGATGCCATGTGTGGAAGAAATAGGAAGCTTTTTTTTTTAAGAAGGTTAAACAGAGACTGTATAGATTTTTGTTTGTTTCCGTGCGGCGAAAATGGAGACAGAGGAGCTTTATATATAAAGAGTAAAGAGGCTTTGATTATTAGTTCGAGAGAATATTCTGGATAGATGAACATTTCTCTCGATGGTTCTAGAGATCCTTTCTGATACTAGTATCCATTACCGGCCCATCACATTTAGCCCGTATTTCAAGATCACTGGGTCCATTGGTCCGACGAGCCGAAATCAATCAAACATTTACTCATCGATCTTTTTTTGTAGAATTTTAAAAATATCTTTGAGATCGGGACAGCTACATTCTTTGAGGAAATTTGATTTGTTGGAGGGGGGAGGAAGAAAAAAAAATTATAGTTAGGAACATCATCTCGCAAGAATAATCAGTTAAGTTTGTAAACTAATAGATATAACTGCTTTTAATAAAGCAAATTAATTCATACTTTCAATTATATCAAATATGTAGTTATTTTTTGATTTTTTAGAATTTTCAAACTAAAGATGCAGTTCATGTAAAACAATTTTTTTTTATTGAATATAATTTAACATTCATTTTAAAAAAAATGTGGTTATTTCAAAATTTTTTTTTTTTTGGCTAAATGTTATTTCAAAATCTTCAATTACCGGTGCAGCAAGAACAAGTGTTTTTGTGGTGATCCACTAAAGAAATGAGAAACGCTATTCCAAGTGATTATGTAGTATTTTTTCAGGAATATGAGGAAAGTTAAACTATAACAGAAGATAATCTTATCTATCAACTTTGTCATGGGTGGTTTCGTTTCTTAATTTGGTTAAAGCTATGGAAGAATAATATCAGTCAAAGTGATTTTCATAATTGATTCACGTCATTTAGCTAGATTGATTTCAGTGATCATGGAAGGTTTATTTATGATTGATCATTGATATAACGAATAGCACTATGACCATATGTTGTTATAGTCAATGAACGAGATTGTTATTATCCGTGATATATAATGATAATTTTGAGCTTATAAAATCAATCACATTTTTATGATACACATATGACTCGATAAGAGATTAAAATAGTTATCTTTCGGCTCACATATGATCTATT